ACACACACACACATTTTTGTCATAGTACCCCCAAGAATTTAAAACTACTTTCACATGACTTGTCAGGTTGATTGGTCTCTCTATATTCTCCTTAGGTGTGCGTGTGTGTGTGCCAGTCTGTCGCCAGTGTGTTGCCCTATGACAGACTGGCGACCTGTCCAGGCTGACCCCTCCTCTTGCCCAAAACGTTCACTGGAGATAGGCACTAGCAACTCTCCAGACCCCACTAGGGACAAGGGAGTACCGAAAATGGATGGATGGATAGTGTGTCAAGTAGAGTTGTACTAAGGTATTTCAGCTTCTCAAATACTGTAGAATTAAACATGAGTGAATGGGTGGATTTTTTGTGAATAATTTCGAGTAGCACTCCACAGAAAAATCTGAGTAGGTGAGAACTCACTGTGATTTCTTACTATCCCACATACTCAGTATTTCCCACCATAAGTCTACCTGATCTTGCCGTTTAACAAGTCTACAATACTTGTTGGTGACCTTCACTTACTGTTCTGGTTATCAGAGGACCCTGAAACTGCTAGCAACACCATCACTTCTACCAAATTTCACCTTAACTGGAGCACTCCTTCTGGCTGGCAATTCATGGGTTAGGGGATTATATTTGGCTGTTTTTTGTGTGCATTAAATTTAGTCACAGAAGCTAAACATAATTTGACAGTTTTTCTATAGCCAAACGGAAATACACTGTGGTTAATCAGTTTTTATTGATCAAAAGCCAGATGTAGCCAACATTTTTATTGATGATTTACTCTAAGAGGCTTCTGGGCAGCTGAAAGTACAAAATGCAAATGTAGTGTCCTGCTGAGTAGCAGATGATAATTTTATCATTGTCCTAGATTTCCTCACTCTCACTTTCCTTTGAGGCAAGTGACCCAGCTCATATTTCTTTAGATTTTCTTTCCACTCTCTCCAGCCTTCCTTTGGTACAATTACAGTAAGCTTGTGCTCTAGCATAAGATAAAGATATTTTTCAGGATTGTTCTTTTTATTATTTTTGCAAGTTTTGAATGAAAAGGGCAACACTCACCTGAGGGGCTGCAATTGTGAGAGCTGTGTTGGCTAGTTCTTTGTCCTGAGATTTTTCTCGGGCCAATCGAGCAGCATCTTTAACATCCTTGAACTTCTCTGAAAACTAAAAAAAAAAAAAAAAATTCAAACAATTTAGTTAATTAATTCAAAACTATGATTGATGACAAATCACGGAAAATGAGAGGACAGTTATACTTGGTTTGATTTTTGTTTAATATACCTGATGCAACTGCTGCTCTGTGGCAAAACCCAGTCCATAGACAGTATTGGCTCTGCTGTCAGCCCACTGGCCAAACTTCTGAGATGTCTTAGTAAATGTCATGCTTGGTGTAACAGTGCAGTTGATAATTGCCTGGGTATGCAAAGGTGATAAGTCAGGTTAAGAACCTGAGATTCAGATGCAAAAACAAAAATGGTACAGTCAATAATTCAGTTCAATTTCAATTCAGTTTATCAATTTATACCAATTAAAAACAAAAGTCTTTGCAAGGCATTTTACAAAATTGTTTCTGGTTATCAATCAATACAGTTAGATTCAGTTTCCTATTAAGTTTGGTAAAATGTTTTTGGTTTCGGGAAACCCAGACTCTTTGAGTCAACGATTTGCAGCAATAACACTTTATGGAAAAACAGATGGCTGTGGACAGCTGATTGCTTTAAGTCTTTAACCTTAACATGTTAAATCTGATTTCCTGTACACTTTGGTCTTTATTAAAACCTATGTAAATGGCAAGAAAGTAAGGTGAATTTTATATTGCTGGTTATATACACACACAGGAAATTAAAACTTTTTTTATTATTATTGAAACCTGACTCCACTGCACTCTGCCTCAATCCGATTCACACGTGGCACTGATATCCATCCTCAGCAGCCAGTCATGTCTGGAAATCACTTAAATATTAGTGTGAAAACACTCAAAATGTTTTAAGGGTGTTTCCCTAAGGAACTTCAGGGGTGGCCTGGAAAACTTATTTTTATACCTGGATTTAAAAACTGAATGTAGTTGGTTCTAAGAAACACTGAAGGACCACTCTCTGACTTGAATTGTCTCCCCTTTTTGGCAACATAGTGACTCTATCATTATCAGCTAATATTAGCTAATTTAAATAATTAGAACTGCTATCTGAGATGATATTCTACAAATAAGACTAGTTTGGCTAAATATTTAAAATTAATTCCTTTTCAGAATTGTCAATGAAAGGGGTAATTTTTTTCACAACTACCAGGGCTACAAGAACAATCTTCTTCATCTCTTCACACCGGACAATTCATACTTCATTTTAACACAAGGGCAAAATTCCTGGGAAGTCTTCATTGGTGCACTTAACTGAATAGTAACCTGAATTTAACTGCATTATTTGGTAACTAGGATCAAATGGAAATGTGGTGGCTATGTCTGTATGATTGAAATTAAATGGACTTATTTTGCCAATTACTTTGAGATGATATCCATCGTCATTTGGTGCTTTATCAATACATTTGATTGAATTATAGATCAATATCTACGTTTAAAATGAATCCCAATCTCTCTGCTCCATCTAAGGTGGCTATAAACTTTGGTGCCATTAATAGCAACCAACTGACCTTCAAAGATCCTATTGACTACGTCACTCAATCATGCTGCTTTGCATTGTTAGACATAGGCTTCACAAACACGCCACCCAGCTCCTGGTGCAGTGCATGGTGATCTCAAAACTCAGCAGATGGTTCTAGAATGGCACCACATACCGTCTTAAACCATTTGTTCACTGAGCTCCCTTGTCTACACTGCATCAAATTCAAGTAATTGATGTTAGCATACATTATGTTTAAAGAAGTGACTCCTATATGTTTAAATGCTCTTGCAAGGGCTTATATCATGACTTGGCTTATATCAAGGGCTTATATCAAAGTAATTATCAGCTAGCTGTGCCTACACAATGTTTAAGATAATCCAGACGTTTTTCTTGCATTATTCCACAGTGGTGAAATGACCTAGCAAATGCTACTAGAACAGAAACTTTCCTGTCTAACTTTAAGAACCTTATGAAAACCTAGCTCTTCAGAGAGCATTTACTACTTTTGTACCAACCCCTCTACCACACAATTCCTGCACTTCCCTTTCTACTTGTGCTCTGTTGGTACACTTTCATCCCTGAAAGAACCTGGCTGTCTGTCTTTTTATTAGGTAGCTTATTGTTAGGTTTGATATAAACTTTGTTGTCATATCCTCATTTGTAAGTTGCTTTGAGTGAAAGCATCTGCCAAATACATAAACATAAACATATTCTACATCTTTACTTCTTGGACAATGGGACTGTCCCCAGAAACACTTACCTGAACAAGAGGAATGCAGGGTCATCTCAATGTATGTTTAGCAACATCATATTAAATGACATAACTGCCTGGCATTAATAAGTTTTAACATACAAATATGATCCATATTTGACAGATTCATTAAAATCAATGTATTACCTATAGCAATCCCTTTGGAGGAAACAGCATCTACACCTGCTTAAAATGTAAAATAAATAATAATAATAATAATAATAATAATAATCTACCAGGGAAAATGATTTGCAGAAAAACTTGAGGTACACAGGACAATCCAAACATATAATCAGACTATACTGACTCTTCACTGAAAATAAAAAAATAGATTATGATCAGCAGCCCTTTAAATTCTATAGTAAAACAGCCCTAACAAACTTCATATTAGCTGTATTCTTCAATTCTGAGAAACGCATACACTAATGGATACGAGAAAACTCCACTCTCCATTGGAAGTTAGTTTCCTCTTTAAATGCCCATAACCATGAAATATTACATTCAGAGCAAGACAGACAGATTTATGTCTATATAAAGAATGATAAATGCCCAGCAGAAATTTTCTATACCTACATACAGTTTTTGTTTATTAATGTGGAAATAGTCATACTCTACTCCTGAAGGTTTCCACATCATCTTTAAGATCACCATCCTGAAACAGATTAAAAGTTCCAGAGCTTTACTCCCTGTTTTACCAACCATAAGAAATGATTATGTAAACTCCACATTTCAGCTGTGACATGTTTGGCATAACCTCCTGGACAGCCAGAGCAGCACTGAAGATTACTGTGGCGCCAGAGAAGAGTGTTGGCTACAGATCATCATCCCACACTGCCCTCTGAGAGGTAGAAATATGGGTCATAGTAGGTGCTAAAAAGACCCTCCCCCCAGTGCCTGATGTGACCTCTTCCTCATAATCCAAATCCCTGAAGGAAAGGAGCTCTAGAAGCTCATATGCTGACAGGCCACCCATGTCACCAGACAACTTCCAAGATCCAGCAAAAAAGTCACTTTATAAGGATATTACCATGACAATTTTCTTTTAATTATAGTGTCTTTAATACTCACTTTGGTTCCACCCACACTAATAATACGATAGGCATTGCGATTGGCATCATAGAAGAAGGACACTGTCACAGCATGCTTGCTAGCAGGTATCCAGTTCCTCTTGGTGGTGGGATCAATCTGGAAAACATGGGCACGAGTGCTGAATATCGGCTGCTCCCTGGAGAAAGGAAGACAAGAAGGATCCTGAAATTGTGAAGAAAAAAGAGAAAAGTTTTGCGAGCCAAAACAAAAAAAGTATAATGCACAGAAAGCAATGTTGGTAAGAGTAGTAAAGCAATTGCAAAAACCTTCTGACATCCTCACTTTTTAGCTTAAGAGAAAAACTTAATATATGTGTGTGCATTGGATCAGACCCTTTTCCCACCCTGTCTTTCCCCTGGAATTATTTTTCTACCACTCACCAGCTGTACAAAGGAAGCTAGCAAATAATGTTGTTAGCTCACTTGAATAATGTTTAGCTTCTCACTCTGTACAGTCTGAGCTGCACCTAGAATGGTTTGGAAAAAAATATTCAATATATAAATTAGGTACAAAGCTACAATGTTTATGGTGTTGATGGGTTGTTTCCTCATTAATATGAAAAACTTTTTCAGTATTCCCTCATGAGCATTTATTCATGCTGCTATCCGTAACCCCAACTATTTTAATTCTAGGTCGTATAAAAAGACATTTATCGCATTCATATTGATTCAGTCAAGATGTACATTCTAAATGTACAGTTGAATGACAATAAAGTCTGTCTGTCAGATTTTCTGACTATTTGGATTCAGTTGTGTATACAGTTCCAAAAAAGAAAGATATCAGCAATCATCAAATTACCAATTTTTATGCTCAGCAGTCTGAGAAATAATATGAGGAAACTGCAAGTTTTTTTTTTTATCCCCCAGTACTTGGCCATCGGTTCAAAAAACAGAAAACAAGATTTTAACAGAATAAACTTTTAAGATTTCTGGACCCTCTTTATGTCCAGAAAAGAGGGTGCCATTTAGCCAAAATCTGGCTAAATGGCACCAACTTTGGCCATAATGCATAGCTTCATGTTGTGAGAACATCAAACACTTGCCACGTATCATGCAGGGTGGTGGACAATAAATAATTTGCAGTTGTTTGTCAGGCACAAACATAAGCATCTTCTAACCATAGAGTCTTCAGAATCCAGTGTGACATTGTCTCTGGTATTTAAATCTTGGACCAAACTTGGTCAGCAACAGGACAATGATCTTTCTAAAATCTTTCACTTTTGACCCAAAATATTCAGTTGTCTCCTAGATATCCAACAATTGGATAGAGATTTATTTCAGCATAACAAGTTTAAAACTATGCATCCAAACCAATGGAAGAATGCCTTCACTGAAATATTTCTTTTTTATTAATAACCCAGCCAGAGTCCAGAGAACCAAATCTTCCCCAGCTCTACTAAAGGAGGGCTGAGGAAACAAGGTCCCCAGAATCTGAGCGGAGAACTTTTAAAATGTAAAGTGGGTTCATATTGTCAAGTCCAGGTACGGGATGGTAATAGACTCTTACCAAAGAAGACTGAAAGCTGAAATATAATCAAAATTAAATTTAATAAAATAATAAATTAAGGTAATGCAATATGGATATTACACCTTTAAAAAACAGATTTATTAGATGTATTCACCTTTAAATTCAATCACTGGGTTAATGTCCCATTATATGCGATCAAATGTTTTAATTAATTTATCATGATTTAATTTTGCATCACTAAACCCTGGTAATTTAACAGAGGTGGGTACACTTTTCACTGAAGTTGTAAAAACTACTGCATGATGAGCAGTGGTTTTCATATGTTTCTGTTTTTGATAAGTAATGACATAATGTAAAAATGTTATGTGCTGCTGTTAATCTGAGGTCACTTAATCAACCAGATCCATATAGTTCTTCTATATCAACCTTCCACCATGACTGATGATTTATAATTTCTGGCTTGCTTAATCAGATTACTTGTTTTTTGGTTTTTAGTTACTCTGGCATAATAACTATATATATGCTTAAAAAAAAGATAAATAATTTCTAATCCGTTTTAACAAAGTAAATTGCTAAGAAAAAAACATGACAGAGATGATGCTGCTCATTCATTTTAGTCAGCTATCTAGTTGATGTGCTGAGCTTAAATGTGTAATTACTGAAACCAGGACACTACTTCAGTGCAGGATCTTTAAATGATTGGGTTTCTCCCAACAGAACTGTGTTATTTTTGCCTGTCAGTGGGCATTTATAGACAATCCCATAAGTCAGAGCTTTATCCAAAAATCTTGTGGGTGGAGTAGTCATTCTACAATTGGAAGATTGTAGGTTTAATTTCAGCATCCTCCTACCACTTGTCAATGTACTCCTGGGGCTGGCACTTAACCCCAACCTGCCTACTGATCTGCATATTTGTTTGTGAGGTGAATGTGGCTCTCGTGTAAACCATTTTGAGTGGTCATATTTATGACCCAAAAGTGCTTTATGTTGGCCACCTCATTCTCAGTGGTGGCCAGTTCTGCTGCCAGTGGTTTGTGTGGTCAATTGGCCACTGGGATGGACAGGTTGTTGGCTAGACTGTGCTGAGGGATATAGAGATGGAGTTGGGTTGGAGGCTTTGGTACCCTGCATCTCTCCCTGGCCTTCTCTGGACCTGGGCTGCTGCTTCAGTTCTTGACTGCCAATCTGAGAGCCAGAGCTTTCTGCCCCTCGCTGCTATTGTGGGCTGAGTGCTGCAAGGTTTCTACTCTTCTTACCATTGTAACATATCTGCAATTCCAAGTATCAAGTTAGCACTCATTCATCCACTTTGACACACATACTCTGACTTTCACACCAACACACCTATGCAAATTGTCTAGGGGGTTGATATTTGTACAAACCGTTAACCCCATGTCTTAACAAGTTGTTAAAACAACTAATCTTTAACAAGTTGCCGTGTTGCAAAACCACATTTTGTTAAAGCAACTTGTCTACTTTGATGTCAGATAAACCCTGATATTATGGACATTCAAGCAATTAGGATAGCATTTCCATGTATCGTTTCTGTAAAGCAAATCTGCCCTGATATATGTAGGCAATGGGCTCCTCAATATGGTGTTCCTGAAATTCTGCATCAGGGCAAGTGGGGAGAAAAACACGAAAATTAAAGTGATTGATTTCTTAATTTAAAATTTAAAAAATATTCTTTGAACAGCCATGACTATGAATTATCTCAAGATTATGGGATTAGACCAAAGAAAATGTTCAGTAAAAGTGTCATTTTGATGACTGATTTAGTCAGAATCAACCTTCGAGTTTGAGGGGGGTAAATAGAACACTGCTAGATTCAGTTTGAAAGCAAAATCATCAGAATGTATCTGATTAATCTAACACAGAGAAATATTCATCAGAATAACTGTTTTACTTCAGGGTTCACTCATTGCAGTTTTCTGGTTGATCTCCATTCTTCCAAAAGCCTGACCTGCCGAATCAGAGTTTTGCAAATATGATCTTTTTTGTCTGAAAAGTTGCTAAATATTGTACAAATTTGATTATTTGGCAACAGTGTGATGACTACTGTCGAACGCCCACCTGGTGGGCGGGTCTGTCGGTCAGTCAGCTCTCATGGCACAGCAAAAGAAGACATTGACTGATTTTCAGACCTATGTGGAGGGAAAGATCAGTGGATAGGATTGGTTTCACATAGAAGTATCGGCTGATCACCCATCTTCTAAAAATAAGGAACTCTTGAGCGATTTAACAGTGTCCCCTAGTCTCATAGACATACCTGTTGTCTCCCGTTTTGACCGTATTTTATACCCTGCTACCCTTCTCTCGGCGTGCTCCCGTATTAGTATCCTTGCCCCCCCTCCCCACCCCGTCCACACACACACACCTGTCTTTCTCTCTCCGACGGCAGCAGCGGACGGATAAATGTTTTCCGTACTGTCAAGTCCAAAACTTGGTAGGTAATTTCTAAGGTATGGATTGCAGGGCTTTTCATCCTACATAGGCAACAAACCTCAAGATTTAAATCTGCTGAAGAATCAGGTCACTGAGGTTCAAAAACTTTGTTACCTTTCTCTGTGGTGAGGAAACATCTTAGAAGGTGACCGGAACTCCTTTGCTGTAAAAACAAAACAGTCAGATTTAGTCTGAGGAATGGAGCAGGTTTACAGTCTTCAGTTAAATAGAGCTCTAGTTTGTTCTCCTCGTGCAGGCACTATTACACTTACCCCATTTCGTTTGGAAACCTTGTTGAATGTTATCTAACAACTATAGCCGCCGCTGTCAGTCCGTCTCCGACTTTCAGTCCAAGCCACCAGATACTTAATCCCGCTTTATTCTCTGGGTTAAAGCTTCAGTGCCCGGAGCTGCTCTGCCGTTTAGGTGTTAGTACCCGCTGTCCACGGAACAATCACACTTCCAGCTGACCTCAGTGACTACAAAGCCCACACTCCGGATCAGCTCTCAGTCAGGTCAAACAACACACATCCGCTCTCTGCTTTTCCTCTTTCTAATTCCGTCCTGTTAGCCGGAGCTCTCAGGTTTCCTGCAGCAGTGTTCAGCTCTTTATCCAGTCAGCGTCGGAGCGCCCGATAGCCGTGCAGCGTCTGGACTACAGCCTCTCCAGCTGCATGTGTAAAGCAGCAGAGCAGGAGGAAAGTGTGTCAACCTGCCTGCAGCCGGCGCGGCGCGCCCCCGTGTGCTCGGGCAGCTTTGTTTGAGCCAAGGTTTGACGGCGCACAGGAGAAAAGTCACGCCCTCCAAAAGCTACTCAGGCAGCCCATGTGGGACATCACACACCCTGCTTCTCCTGAAATATATTTGCTAATTTGTTCAATAAAACAAGAGCATCATGATGAGAGTAATCAAGAGAAACTTTATTCGTCATGATTAGCAGATTTTAAAGAAGCAAAACAAAACTGGTTTAATTCTTAAAAAAAAAAAAAAAACAAACAAAAAAAAAAACGGCGAGGGATCGTGTTCTGTTCCTACTAAAACATGCAGATGTTACTTGTGGAAGTAAGTTACTGTGTGATCATTTATTGGTGGTTTTTAGGATCAATCAAACTCAAAACACGGTTGAAAGTTTCATTACCTGTTCATGAAAAAGATGTAATGCATTATGAGAGCTAGTAAGTACATTTGACTCAACAGGATTTAATTCTAAATCGGATGTAATGTCAATGAAAGATACTAAATAGTTCATTGCTGTAGAATAAAAAAAACCCCGGCAAAATTCATAAATTCTTTAGGCTTGTTCAAGAGTTTAAACTGATATTTAAGACAAACATCAGGTTGGCTAACTGATAGCCTTCAGTGCAAAGATGACTAATCGTGTGGTCAAAAGGTTAAAAAAATACACGTATCACAAGTTGAGCCAGAGTGTAATAGGAATTTACAAGAGTAAGTTTCACTAATGCTGGGAAATGACACACTTTTAGTTAACTTTTTATATTTCTGGGAAAACACAAAAAGGAAAACATTGGGTCAGAGAATAAATAAAAAAGCTCATTTAATAAAAAGTCAGTCATTTTTAACTATAACAGATCTCAACCGATTAGCACTTCATAATATCTTTAATCTTACAGCAGGATTAAAGCTGCAGTATGTAACTTTTACAAAATTATGTTGTTTTTCACATATTTGTAACATTTTAACATGTGACGTATAATAAAAGGTTGAGCTTCTCCAACTACCTCCAGTGCTCTTATTGCCATCCAAAGAAAAGCACTGCTTCTGGTCAGAAATAATGAATAAGAGCCAGGAGGAGGGTCTTAGTGCTGTCAATCATCCTCATGTACACACTGCTCAATATGCTATTGGCAGAGAAACAACTTATTACTGAAAAAAACATTCATTCGCCAGCAGTGGCCATGCTAACTAGCCTGATCGTTCATGGCAGGCTCTGTTGTGGGGAACCAGCTGTAGCCTAGCAGAGAGTAAGGGTGTGAGCAGCCATTACACTGCTATGATTGACAGCACTGAGACCCTCCTGGCACTGATTGGTTCTGAGTGGCACATTTTCTGGTTAGAACTTGGAGAACTGGCAAAAGGAAGAGGAGCTTCACAGATTATCTTTATCATATTATACTGTTACATTACTGGTGATAGTTTTTTATTCTTGTTCGTCAGGAGATTATACATTTGACATTACATACATTTTGCAAAACTTGCATAACTTCTCCAATTTTTTCCCCTTAATGAACAGAAATCACCATACTGACATACAAATGAGAAAAAATGAACAGATAAATACCTAAATAATAAAATAATAAGGGGGTGGGAGGCGGCATTGTCGAGGTAAAATGTAATAGTATTTGACCTTTTTTATTAAACTTAATCACATGATGGGTCAGTTAAATCATTCTACACATTATGAAGGGAAAGATTTTATGTATTCCATAAAAGGCGTCCACCTGCGAGTAAATTTTGCTGAACTGCCCCTCACTGTTAATGAATTTTTTTTGTCTTCAAAAACGTTACTAGTTTTAACAAATATCTAAAAAAACAACAACTTTTTTTTAAATAAAAGTTACATTCTGCAGCTTTAATGTTGATCAAGTTTGTCATGGTAGAAGATGGAGTTTGAAGACTTTGCATTGTAATTTATTTAAAGTCAGGTTTATGTTTAAAAGCATGAAAGAAAATTTGTTCTCACTTTTTCCCCTACACATCTTCATGCTTTTCTCCTATTCAGGAACTTTAACTGTGGAAACCTCACTGCATGGTTTTTGGCGCGAGAGGAATCTCAGTAAAGTACAGTTCACTTAACTTGGTTTAACAGAAGGATAATTAGGAGTTCAGAATAAATTGAACTGCTTTACTAAGTTCAACCAGAGGGAAAAAATGACACTTCCAAACATTTACGGTGCCTATTTTTGTATTACGGTACTAAGATCTGAAATTATTGGGGGTATTTTTATTCAATTCTAATATAACCACCTGTTCTTAAGCAGACATGCTCTGAAACATGGCAAGATACACTAGCAAACATCTCTGAACACACTTCTTTAGGAAGCTGTAAGATTTCTCAAAGTTAAGGAAATAAAACGGGTGACCCGTGTGTGTGTGCAGCCTTAAAAGGTCACAACTCTGCAGCACAGCAGCACAAACACTTTTGAGCCCACCTGAAATGCCAAATATTTCTTCTAGATGCTTTGTTTCAAGCGTTGGGTTTAAAAGAGTTGCCATAACGACTGCTTCTGGAGTTATGTCTCCATTTATTTTGTCTCACTCCACCTCCCAGAAGATCCCATGTTGGAGGAGTTTAGTGTGAGACAGATCTTCTCCAGCTTTTGGTGCAAGATTCCAAGTCCTCTCCTGGAGGACTTCAGAGGTTAAGGGACACAATGACATAACTGTCCCCTTCACACTTGTCCACCATCATGTAGACCTGTCCCACTCCCTGACCAGTTGACGGACCTCACTGCTCTGAGGACGGCGGCTTCCTTTCTGTACGTCTTCACCTGTGTGCAGCCGTGCTTCCTCATGCCATGCCAGTCTCCTTCTCCTCCCGTCCAGCTCTACTCCCATTTTTGCTCTCACTCTTCTGATTGGTTGGTTTCTCACGGTCTCCTCGTCTCTCACACAGCGGTGCTTCGGTTGTAGCAGTGGAAAACGGGTATCCATGTTTGTTCCTTTTCTATTACCCGGATTAAAATACGAACAAACCAAGCTTCAGGCAGGTCTCTGTTCCAGCAACCTGAAACACAAACACACATAACATGCTAGTTAGGAAATATGAAATTAATTTTAAAGCAAAATAAAAAACTTTCATAAGTCATTACAAAAGAACAATCTTGTGTTATTTGCTGTGATTAACAGTAATGACAGAATTTGATGCTTCTCACATTCTAGTACTGGGACAGTCCAGTCACTCCATGTTGGTAGGCCCGTTCCCCCTGGTATGTGGAGTCCTGGGACAGAGCCACATCAAACTGGGACTTGAATTCATCTCCTAGGTAACTGTCCTAGAATGGGACAAGTACATCAAATGGTTAGTTTTTAAAATTTTCAATGCTGGAAGGAATTAACCATGTATACATCAAAACTCTTCCTGGAAACAGGGAAATGAACAAACCTCAGTTTGTTTCATGTACAGTGGAACCTTAAAATATAATTTTAATTCATTCAAACAGGCAGCTTGTGTCTTGAGGAAAATAAAAGTTTCTCCGGATAAAATAATGAAATTTAAAATTGTTCCGTCCAACCCTCAACCACACCTTTGCCAAAACATCCACAGCACTAAAAAGAAATCACATTTTTAGTATAATAGTTATCCATCTTTTGCAGCAGCATAAGTACAGATGAAAAAAATAAGACAACGAACACAGTTTCTTTGAACCATCTAAATGTGGACGTGTTTTAAGGTTATATTCACACAGCAGACAATTTTTTTATTATTCTTTACTGTTGAGGTATTGAGAAAATTACAAGGGCAAAATTTCAGTCTGATCAGATACAAAATTTCTTCTCTTTACATTTCCATTTACAAAAACAAAACAAGATGGAACAAGGGGGTATTATTTTGGAAAAACGTTACTTTTATGTATATAACAATAAGTAAATTATAGAGCAAATAGACACTCTCCGAAGAATGAACCCTCTCTTTTTTAATTCTCAACAATCTAGGATTCTTGCATATTCTGTTTTGTTGACATACAACACTCATTTGGATCACAAGATAGTAAACTTGTTCAGTTGAAAACAAATTAAAAATGTTAATCTTTCCATCTGATAGATTTCATTAGCACACTATCCATTCTTCTACAGTGGGAGGCAAAAGGTGGAGCCAGCGCCTGGTGACAGTTTTTTTTTTTACAAGCTGTAATTAGTATTTGAAACAGATATTTTGTGTTGTCAGATAGGGATTATGTGTTACCTAGAATAAGGATAGCGAATTTATAAGGTATTCTTATTTTCAAGATATTTTCAATATTTTTGTGCATTTCTATCCAATAATGTCTTATAATTGTACAATCCCAGGATATATGCCAGTGGTTGGGTTCTGTGTTTCCACATTGCCTCCAGCATTTAGGCTCCCACCTGGTACAAGAAATTTTCTGTTTCAGTGTTATAAAAAAATCTAAGCAGGCATCTCCAGTTAAATTCTCTCTATGAGTACAAATTGGTACATCTCCAAACGGTCATGCAGTAACTGTGTCATTCTTCTTCTGTGATTCCATCTTGCTTTCCTTTTCCCAATTTGTTTTCAATTGGGAAATTGAAAACAAATTCAATTGGGAATTGAATTTCCCAATCGCACAGTGGGAAATTCAAAACACTCATAAACACATTTCTGAGTGTTTTTTTTACTCATAAATCCCTTGTATAACCGTGATATAATACCTTGTTTTGGATTTTGCCTGATATGCTGTTAGTATTTCTGTAAGTACTGGTTCCTGCTCATCTGTATGTCTAATAATTTCCTGATTAAGATAATGACGTACTTGCAGGTATCTATAAAAATCCTGTTTCCCCAAGTTATAACTTGTTTTAAGTGTTTTAAAGTCTTATTTGTTCTTTATCCATTAACAAAGATGAAATATAAAAATAGACTTGTAAATCAAAACATATCAATGGCCAAGCCGGCAGACATGCAGAGATGGCCATTTTATCTTAGCATACAAGAAATGCATAAACCACAATAAAGGTGACAACATGTCTAAAGGAAGAACAATTAAACAATTAGGAATGAAAGAAGGGACAA